TAACAGAAAAAATGTGCATTTTGTTTTATTATCATTTATTTTTTGACCACATCTGGCTGTGTTCAGGACTTAGAATCCTAGCTCTGTGCTCAGGGATCACTCCTGGCACTGCCTGAGGGAGCCATATGGAATTATGGGATTCAAACTCGGCTTGGTCATGTGCAAGGCAGGTACCCAAGATAGTGTACCGGGGCCCTTGTCTCCTCCTCTCTGATCCCCCCTTAAATTTTAATTTTAAGGTCATTCTTGGCATGGTGCAAAAATTTTTTTTAAAAATAGACTATAATTAGGATCAGAGAGATAATACAAGGGAAGGCGCTTGCCTCACATGTGGCTGACCCAGGTTCTGTCCCTAACACCTAATATGTATGGACCCCCAGTGCTTCCAGGAGTGGTCCCTGAGCACATAGTCTGGAGTAAGCTCCGAGCACTGCTCTGTGTGTCCCCCAAATTGGGGGGGAAAAAGACAGGAAGTGCTGTCTTTTGCCTCAATCCTTGATAAGATAACCAGTTAAGCTACCTTTGAATTAATTGAAGTTATTCCTTTTTTTTTCTTATTGGGTTTTTTTTTAATCCTATTTTTAGAAACTTTTTTGAAAGATTAAAGATCTGTACATTTTCTATAAGATTTTGTAAGCAATTGACACAGTGTTGTGAAAGTTCACTTTTGTTTCCTTTGATTTGGGGGGCCTTACCCTGCATGTTTAGGGCTTACTCCTGGCTCTGCACTCAGGGATCACTCCTGGTGGGGCTTAGGGGTCTATATGAGATTCTGGGGATTGAATTTAACTCAGCCATGTGCAACATAAGAAACCTACCCACTGTACTAATCTGTGCTCCCCTTATTTTGTTTTTTAAAATTGTGTGTGTGTGTGTGTGTGTGTGAGATGCCTAGGATTCAATCCAGGCAATATATGTAATCTACCAGTGAAACATATCCTTAGCCCTGGAAATTTCTTTTTTACCACTGATCTACAGATGGGAAGCCCACGATCGAGGTGCTGACATGCTTGGTTTCTCTGAGACCAATTTACCTAGCTGTCAGTTGATCTCACAGGGGCCTTTGTTCCAGAAAGCTCTCCAGATAGTGACATTAGGCCTTTTGGATTTGGGCCCTGCCTCTCTGAGCTTATTTAACCTTGATTAGCTCTTTATCTTCAATCAGAGTTTTTCTCTTCAGTAGAGTCACCAGAGGCTAGAGTTTCAGCCTATGAATTTGGAGAACATATTTTGTTCCATAACAACTTGGTGAATAGATAAACTATGGTAAGTTCATACGACTGAGTGTGTCTCAGCATAGAAGCAAAATGCTAACACATGCAACTATATAGATAAATCTCAAAAACATTGGACCTGAGAGAGAGTTCAGAGGGCTGAGTGCATGCAGGTACGCTTTGCCTGGGAGGTCTGAGTACAATCCCCAGTACATCATGGCCCAGAGCCCCACTAGGAGTGACCCCAGCACAGAGCCAGAGATAGACATCAGCACTGCCTCAGTAGTGACCAAAACCCAAAAACAGCAGCATCAATGCCAGAGAGAGTACAGAGGTCAAAGTGATTGCTTGCATGGTGCTGATGCAGGTTCAATCCCCCAACCCCACACATGGTCACAAAAGCACCTCCAGAAGTGACCCTTGAACACAAAGGCAGGAGTTTGCCATGAGCACAGCCGAATGGGACCTAAAAACCAAAAAAAACAGCAGTAACAAAAGTAAGTCAGACACATTGCTCCAGTACCATGAAGTTGTAAAGAAGGCAAACAGAACTTTAGAGTGCCAGGGCCAGAGCTGTAGTACAGTGTAGTACCACTGTATTACACTTGCATTGCATGAGGCCGCCCCAGGTTTGTTTGTTCATTTGTGTTTTGTAGGCCACACCTAACTATGTTCAGGAATTAACTCCTGTCTGTGCTCCAGGATCACTCCTGGTGATGCTCAGGGAACGGTATGGGGTGCTGGGGATTGAACCCAGGTTGACTGCATGCAAAGCAACTCTCTACCTGCTGTAGTCTATTGTTCTGGCCCACTGACCCAGGTTTGATCCCTGACACCATTTATGGTCCCTTGGGTTTGCCAAAAGTGATCCCTGAGCACAGAGCCAGGAGTATGCACTGAGCACTGCTGGATGCGCCCTCCCTCCCAAAGAAAAAATGAGGATTTAGATAGTTGATTAATGATTTCCAGAAGACATAGCGTAGGGTATGAAATAAACTGTAGAAGGGTACAAGGAAATTGTTTAGAAGATTAGACGTCATAAGCACTTAGCATGTTGAGCCAGGAGAATGCAAATTATTAGGATATTATATATTACTTTACAGTATTCCAATATTGCATGCGTGTCCTTTTCTCTCTACATCCACACAGGCACTGGTTGTTCTTACTATTTTTTATGTGTGCCAGTCTGTGTGGTGTGAGATGATATCTCATCGTTGTTTTGACTTGCATGTCCTTGATGATTAGTGGTATAGGGCATTTTTACATGTGCCTTTTGGCCAGTTGAATTTTTTCTCAGAGGAAGTTTCTATTCCACTTATGATGGGGTTGCATGTTTTTTTCTTGTAAAGTTCTACCAGTAAAATTGGCCTACATTTTAAAGGCCATCCAGACATGTCTTTCTTCCTCCTAGTTGTACATTCAACAATCCATCATTGTTGAACACTAGATTGGTACAGAGCATCCTGCCAGGTACATTAGATTATTCAGAGTACAAGTCAACAAACTTGCCCTCTAGGAATTTAACAATATTAAATGAGACAGTTGAGAGTCTGAAAGATACTGTTTGGATCAGTGGTTTCCACTTGTTTACATGGGTCTACAGACCTGCAGTTGAAAGGTTTTGTCAGTTAAAAAATAATAACTAATCTGCAAACTGATAGAGAATTTCTGTGGCCAGCTTTCAACCTTGGAACGGTGACTGATTCCTATTCTAAGTTCTCCACCTCCTAGTTGTGAAATTTGGGGAAAGACTTGATCTCTCTCCCCTCTCTCTCTCTCTCTCTCTCTCTCTCTTTCTCTCTCTCTCTCTCTCCTTTTGTTTTGGGGTCACATTTTGAGTTCACATTCGGCAGTGCTCAGGTATCACTCTGGTGGGGATTGGGGACCACACAGGGTGCTGGAGGTTGAACTTGCAAGGCAGGTAACTTACCTGCTGTTTGCTCTCTGATCCCAAAGATACTTGATCTTTTTGTGCCCCATTGTCTTCATCTGTAAAAATAGTTAATTCATAAAGTTATAGGCTCTATTAAATATATAAAAGATTTTAACTGTCTCTGGCATGTTTTAAATACTCAGCTTTAGCTACTGTAATGACAACATAGGGATCATAGATAAACACTGAAATTAAGATCAAGATAGCATATAATTAAATTCCCCAGTGAATGATGGCCAACTGAAGAATGTCAAATCACTATTTGAAAGTGGCTGCCTGTTCCTTGTGCTATCTTGCATATCAGAATCCCCAGGCTGACTTGAACCAGTTTGCTCTTATTGATTTGAAGTGGAAGGAGAGAAGAAACTATAAAATCATGATCTCTTTAAGGTCTTTCATTTCTCTTTCCATTCCCTAATTCAGAGTGCTTCTCCGTACCTACAAGCTTATCTGAATCTTTTTTCTTTCTGTTTTCTGTTACCTGGATATTTATTCATTTGAATACTTGCTTGAATAGCATTTTTATTTATACATTAGGGATGTTAGTTCTAATGAGTCATTTGTTCCTTAGTATTGTAATCAGATTCTTTTCATTGAGTATCTTTCCAGGAATCAGATATAATGAAAGAATTTGAATTTGTTCTTTGGGAGTGGAATAAGTAATTTTGAAATAGACAGTTGCATTTCCTCCTCAAGGAGATTTTGCACTGGGAGTATCGGACAACATGATGTCATCAGTTTAATGGAGATTTGGCACAATAGGCTGGGTGGGGATACAGTCAAATTTTACTGGAGAGATGGAGAGATAGTACAGCAGGTAGGGTGCTTGCTCTGCACTTGGTCAACCTGGATTCGAACCCCAGCATTGTATACAGTGCCCTGAGTTCCACTAGGAGTGATTTCTAAGCACACACCCAGGAGAATAAGCGTGAGCATGTCTGGGTAGAGCCCTCCCAAACAAAAAATTCTTACGTGATCATTTTCTTTTTAATATTTAGGCCATACTCCACAATGTGGGCTGCTCCTGGCTTGGTGCTCATAGGTCACTCCTGGTGGTGCTCAGGGAATTATTTGCGCCCAGGACTGAACGTAGGCCTCCTGCATGTACAGCATGCACTTAGCCCATTGCTCTGTCTTTCCTGGCTGTACTTTCTCAGGGTTTAAGTGCTTGCCGGTAATTCACTTATGTTATATAAATAAAATGAACTGTCAGTGGGATTAAGTTAGGAAAGGTAACTACCATCTATTACTTATATATAATGAGAAAAATAAATTTCAGGTTCCAGAAATATGTAAAAGTTGTTTAAATACAATGTTTTAAGAATGCTTCCACTTTGTGATATAAAGAGTAATTGCTATATAAACATAAGACAGAGAGTGTGTGAGTATGTGTGTGTATGATGGTGGGGTGGGGAGTGTGAAAAACTGAGTGACCACCACAAACTGATCATCACATAGTACAGTTTTCAGTTTTATAGGATAAGTGTTTTTTTTTTTCAATGATGTTTGGTGGAAATGTATAGTAGAAATGAAAATTTATCAGAAAAACCGTAAAGACTTTATATTAATAAAGAGCCACATTATATGAATCCTTATAAGACTTGCAAACATTAAGTGCCCCTTGTATCTTTTTTCCTGTGGCTCACCATATTGAGTTGAATTTTGATTGAAGGTTGTGGTTTAACTCTTGCTTCATTAAAGATTTTCTTTTAAAAATATATGTCTACAAATTGAGCAGTATCTCCATATTAATTTTGAGAATACTTAGAAAAGTTTGTGTGAATACTTTTTTTACTTCTAAATTTACCATTTTCATACAAATACCCATGGTTTTCTTCTGTGTTTACATGCAGCCAGGAGCTATGGGCGAAGACGAGGTAAAAGTTTTTTAATGAGATCTTTTGCTTGCCAAATTGTGAGTAAACGTGAGTGCCTGAGTGTTTATACTTTTTGTGTGTGTGTGTGTAAAACGATGATTATTGTGTGTTCTGATGTGCTAGCTTAATTATTTTAGTGAAATAATTTCCTTATCTCTTTTATTATAATTATGTTTTATTATAGTTATTTGTTCTAGACTTTTTCCTACCTGGAAGTTTTATATGGTTTATTGTGAATAATCTGAGGGGGTAAAGCCCAAGTGTCTGTGTGTGTGTGTGTGTGTCTGTGTGTGTGTCTGCGTGTGTGTGTCTGCGTGTGTGTCTGTCTGTGTGTGTGTGTCTGTGTGTATGTGTGTGTGTGTGTGTGTGTGTGTGTGTGTGTTTTCTCTTTGTTCCGTGTTCTTTTCATCCTGTATAGAAAGCTTTGAAGGTTTTGAAAGGAAATTCCTTCTTTTTTTAATCTTTTAAAATTTTTTTGAAAGTAAGATAAGTTGATTTGAGAAATGAGAAGAGATGAATGGAGTTTTCTCAAGAGAGAGCAGGTTTCTTCTCTTCTCACAAGTGGAGAAAACTGAACACATATCCCAAGTAGATCTACAGTGAATTCCTAAGATGAAGAATACATGCCTGAAGTAAGAAAGTGGACCTCTGGAGTTGATGGCCTTTCCTCCAGAATGGGGGATTGTATCTGAAGGGAAATTCTTGATTGTAATACACTGACTATTGAATTTCATATTAAATCAGAGACAGATTTACCTTGGAGCTTAAGGGAGTTTGAGTTTCAGTAACCCTTGCTTTGGGTTCCTGGCCCAAATGGACTCCTTTGTTAAGTAAGGTCTTTACATTATTTTTTTATCTGTTAGTTAGAGGTCTAATTAGAGAGACCCTGAGTTAGAGAGATAGGCCAGGGGTTAATGCACTTGCCTTGCATGTGGGAGGCTGAGGTGTAATTCCCAGCACTGTGTGGTTCCCTGAACACTGCCAGGAGGGATTCCCTGGCCCAGACAAGATGTGGGAGCAAACCTCTCAAGTACTGCCCAAACTTGTCCCCATTAAAAAAAAAAAGAATCTCAACTTCACTAGGTTTTAGGCCCATAAAACTTATATTCTCTACTGGTTATACCCAAACTAAATCATAATAGCTTTCAGGTTTGTAATGTAACATAAGCCATTTTCATATTTGTAATTTTTTCAGATAACTTCCTAAGGTCAATAAAGAATGCAGTGAAGAATGGTTGAGATGTAGGGTCAGAGATCCAGCCTAAAATCACTGCCTTCGGCCCGTGGATGTAGCTCATTTGCACAACACTGGTCTGGCCTGTCTGAAGCCCGGGGTTTGGTCCCTGGCACTACCCCGAACAAAAAAAAGCCTGCAACATTATCAATCACTTTATCACTTATGTTTGCCTTGTTCATCTATAAATTGTCAGGTAATAAAGCTAGTCTTTCTAACTTCAGAGTGTTCATGAACTCAGCGCATAAAAATGAGAAAGGATAAAGCTGTCCATTGAAACAGAAGGCACTTCACAAATATTTTGCTTTTGTCACTCATTTGCAGCAATTGGGTGAGATGTAGTAATTTACCTGCTGTGTGATCTCGGGTTAGAGATAAGACCAGAACCTTTGTCTTTCAGCTGCTTGTTGGGTGATCTTTACCATTTATTTGGCTGTCTGTGACTTTGCAGTTGAGTCTTGAGAGAGTTAGATAATAATGCTCAACTTATAATATTTTATTATTTATTCCATACTAAATGCTTGTTGAATGGATGAATCTAGTTCAACCTGATATGCATTTGAATTGCCATCGTTCCCTTCTTTCAGGGTGAAATCATTCCGTGGTTTTTGTTTTTAGATCATGGTGAAGGCCATTATGTTATTTTTGTTTTACATCATGTGAAGAATAGCACTTGTGCAACTGATTACATTTTCACTGTGGAAATTAATATCACTTGACATTTTCGACCTTCTCCTTGGTTTTTCAATTTTAAGGCATTTCCGTATGGAAAGGAATATTACTAGAAATCATTTGTATCTTGCTAGTTTGCTCTCCTGTTGCTAGAAAAATGATCACTCTCAGACCGAATAGGGAATGGGCCATTTTACATAGAAAACAGCCACGGTCCGGGGCACAGGCAGTAGGGCCGGCCGCTCTCTTCTTATGTACCAAGTTATCAAATTGTGTTGCTGTTTCCCCTCGGGTTTCTCAGGTCTTATCCTTCTTTTTTCACTTCTGTCGTCCCATCTTTCTGAAACTTTATGGATTCACATCATCTGGCCTCTCCATTTTTCCAACTTTGGCTTTTGCCTCTCCAGACCATATTCTTTTCTGTTTTCTGGGCTGTGCACACACTATGGGCCTTTCCTCTCTTTGCCCAAGACCCATCATTCCTTCATGCATTCAAGCCTCATTCAAGCCCATCTCCTCCTAGAGAATAGACAGTGTTCTCGCATCCTACCTTTTCTCAACACCCTGATTCATCCACTGGAGATAGGTTCCTCTGAGGAAAGCTGTCTCTGTGCCTAACTCTGCCTCACACTGAGTGAGCACTTTATGATTAATGCTTATTGGGACCAAGGACATAGCTCAAAGTGCTGGAGAGTGTGGCGAGAGACCAAGGTTTGATCTCTGGCACACCTGAGCATCCTGGGAGCAGCTTCTGAGCGTATCTCCTAAGCACCACTGAACGTGGGCCCAAAACAAACAAAAGATTAATGCTTATTTAATAAGAATTATTCTGAAGTCACATCGATATACATGCTAGCCAGAGTTTCACATTTTTAATTATTTTTGTAAATCATAGAATATTAAATACAGGACTTGGGAACATAAGATCACTTGTAGTTTCTAATCTCCTGAGAAAAATATTCTTCCCTTTTCAGTGTTATCATCCCCGTATTATTTCTGAGTTTGGATTCACCCATTTTTGGAAGCCCTGATCACCTTTGCATCAAGTGTTAAGCTAAGCACTGCCTAAAATGCCTTGTTCTTGGCTCTTTGTAGAGCTGCAATTTGATAGTTGTAGAAAAAGAAGCTAATTACAGAAGAATGGGGTGGGGAGAGGGGAGGGGTAACAGAATAAACGTTGTCTTTCTATAGTGAGAAAGGACTAGGTAGATATTTTTTATTCTATGTGTCCAAAAGCTGAAAAAGAAGAAGAGTCATGGTCTTTAAATGTAATGAAACAGCCCTAGGGGATGGGACAGCATACTCCATATCAGTTTTCATTCTCTGGAGTTAATTCATATGACCAATTTTGTGTAATATCAGGTAGATGAACTGTCAACTTTCTGCATGCTCATTTATTTTTGTGGGGCAGGTTTATATCAACACCTGCTTCCCATCCTTCAAACAAGTCTTTCAAAAACTACAGAATGCAAACATGCCGAGGTATATTCCTTCAGTTACATTTGCTTTAGCTCTCACTCATTTTCTCTATTTTTTTTGTTTGTTTCTTTAATGATGTTGTTAAACAGTTTAGGAATAGAAAGCAAAGGGAATGAATCTTTGAACAGTTTGGAGATCTGTCAGCAAGAATTGGGTCAATTGAATCTTCGAGTTCTTTCGATTGGTAAACTTGAAAAGGCTTCCTGGAATAGATAGAATTTCAGAAACCCTTTGGAGGCTGGAAGAGGAGTGAAAAGCGGGCTACTCTGGTGCATGATTCAGCTTAAAAGAAAGCCCCAGGGTGAGATTGGCACAGCCAGATGCTGAGGGCATATGTTCCTGCGTGCATGCGGTGGGTGGGGGGCGGGTGGGGGGGCTAGCCAAAGCGACTCTGGCAGTGGGATCATATCTGCTGCATAATGAATGGGTTTAATGGGACAGAGGGGGTCGTTGTGTTTTGTTTGTTTGAGGGCCACTCCCAGCAGTACTCAGTAGCTCGTCTTGGTACTTGGGATTCTAGGGAACCATACGGTGCTGATGATCGATCAAACCTGGAGCTCCCAGATGCTGACAGTGTGCTCCAGCCCTTTGAGCTACCTCCCTGCTCTGTGAATGGTTCCTGAAGGAGGGTCATATTCCCGGGCTAAGGTCAGGCTTTGGAAAGAAGGTTTATGATGTAGGTAATGAAAACAGAAGAGAGGAGAGAGTGAGGCTCATTGGAAGTCTCAGACAGGATAATGAGTATCGGGGTTAAACTCCTGGACAAGCCAAGTGCTTACAGTAGTGTAGTCAGAATAGTAGTAGGTGGGAAAAGAGTAAGATGTGAAAGGGTTAAATTTGAAAATAAATTCTGATTATATTGAAGGTATTTAAGTGTTCAATTATATTTCTCATTCTTACTCATTTTTGTTGTAGACACGTGTTTATTCTCTTATGCAACCAGAAATCACAACAAAGAATATTTACGTTTTTTCTAGAGTATTTTGGCTTTACATGTTAGTAGGGATGGAGCGATAGCACAGCGGGTAGGGCGTTCGCCTTACAAGCGGCCAACATGGCCAACCCGAGTTCGATTCCTCCGCCCCTCTCGGAGAGCCCGGCAAGCTACCGAGAGTATTCGATATGCCAGACACAGTAACAACAAAGTCTCCAATGGAGACGTTACTGGGCCCGCTCGAGCAAATCAAAGATCAACGGGAGGGCCTTTGCCTTTACCTTACCTTTTATGTTAGTAGGTATTTTCTGAGGGAAACAATAACCTCTCTTGAAAATAGTCGATTTGGGTACTGCCATACGTGATCTTTGCCTGCCAACAAACTTAGCAGCATGCCTAATTAAAATATATGCTGTGATTTTTATTTTACAAGAGTTACTCTGGTCCCTGGGTATGCATTACATTTCCGTATCACCCACAACCCATGTTGGGTGTGTGTAATTCTTTTACTTTATTAGGGTTCCCTCCTCTCTCTCAGACATCCTAAGTGAAGCTATTTTACTTTTAAAAATAATTTTTTCCTATGCCCATGTTTAATAAAATTTCTTAAAGAGCAGCAAGGAAAAAATAGAAAAGATTCTTTTAAACAATACAAAGAATGATTGAGTTTTGTTTGGTTTT